TTTTTTTTTGTTTTTGTTTTTGTTTTTAGTCTGAAAGTATAAAAATGTTCATCCAATATTTTTGTCTAGTATTTTATGGCTTTAGGTATGCCACTGAAGCATTCAGCTTTCTGAGATTTGTTTTGGTGTAAGGTAGATATCACAGCTCACCAATTTTTCTGGTTGAGCTTAAATGTCATTTAAGAAAGTTGTTTTGAATGCCTTCTATATACCATGGTTTGTTATTGTTTGGGTAGAAACTGCCAAATGAACATGACATTGATTTAAAGTTAATAATGGAGACTATATACATATGCTTTTTATTTTTTATTTTTTATCATTAGAAAAATTCCCTAGAAACAGAAATTCCTACTGTCAGTGTTTTAGCTGATGAAGAATTCCTTCCCTTTCAAGAAAATACGTTTGACCTGGTGGTTAGCAGTTTAAGGTTGGTAATCTGTGTATACTTTTAAAAATATGTGTGTTATAAATAGATAATTTATGCGACAAAGTTTTATAAGGTTAAAAAAATAGATAACAAAAAATTCTTGATAACTTTTTATTTTTATTTATTTATTTTTTTTTTGTGGAACCGGGGATTGAACTCAGACCGTTGTGCTTGCCAGGGAAGTGCTTATTCCACTGAGCCATCTCCCCGGTTTGATAACTTTTTAAAAAAATTCTTAGAACAGTTATTTTATAAATTTCTCTAGGAAAGAACTATGGATCCAGGGTTTTCTCGTGGAGGTAGTACTACTTTTTATTCTCAACTTTTTACAGTTCATCTGCATTAGAAGGGATTTTTTTTTTCCCCCAATGTAACTCGGTATTTTGGAATTGATACTGATAGAGGAAGAAGTTTGGGAGGATTTTGGCTACAGTGTTCAAGTGTTAGACACTTTTTTTTTTATGCCAGGGAGTCAAACTCAGGACCTTCTACTTGGCGGGCAGGTTCTGTGCTGCTGTGCTATATCCCTATCCCTGTTAGATCTCTTACTATAAAGTTGTTTTGGCAAATAGGGGAAAGCTAGCGTTTCTTTCAACATTAATACTTTTACAGGGAAATACAGTCCTCAGGTTACTTCTTTCCTCTTGTTTTCTACCATGTCCCTTTACATTTGTTACATGAACACATACTGTAGACTTATTTAGTAGATCATGTGAGGCACTGAGGTAGATGCTTTGAGGGAATGTAGACATGAATTGAGACAAGAAGTCTATCCTCAAAGAACTTCATCTAATGGAGAAAATATCCTCTATGGCATCTTATTTTTCCACTGTTTATAGATTATTTTCTTTTTAAGATTTACTGTGCTCTTCACATCCAGTTCATCCTTTGGTTAGCTATGTTTAAGGTGAACAACATCAGAGTGTATCCAGGACTTTGCCAGTTTTAGTACTAAAAATCATGTTTTCCATGAAACCTTTTAGTCCCAGGCAAACTGTGAGAGTTAGTCACCCTTTGTGTTTTCTTTAGTGAGCTTGTATTTTCCTACCTCTCTATAATGCTGAGCAAATTTTAAAAAGTGTTCTTGTTTTGTTATCAAGTGAAACACAACCCCTCTTGACCTAAAGGAAAGAGACCTACCTGGGAGAGAGTCAGTATAGGCTTCAACTGTAGCTCATCTGCTTGCTATTTGTAAATAACAAATTCTGTTGCTTGCAGTTTCTTTGTAAGTCTGATAGAAGATCTCCTTAGTTTCTACATTATCTACTAAAGTTGTCGGAAGCACTATGTAGGATGAATGTGAGCGCAACACAATACGGTTTAAAATAAATATTTAATTCTGTCCCTGAAATCAGCATATAAGGATGCCAACATTGTCAAGAAAGAGTGACTGACTACACAGAGAATATGGTTCTTGCCTTCATGTGTGACCATATCCTGAGAGAAAGTAAATAGGATTAAAGGAAATTCAATAAATAGAGAGGACTCTCTTCGTTTTTCTCATCATCTTTAAAAATGTTGAGGGGCCAGGGAGATAACTCAATAGAATAAGTGCTTACCTGGCAAACACAGGGTCCTGAGTTCAATCCCCAGTACTGTTAAAAAAAAAAAAAAAATTGGGTAGATGGGCCAGTTATCTGAGATGGTTAGAATGTGGTGCTGATAAAAATGTTGGATATACTCTGTACCTATCAGAATGGTCAAAACCCAGGGTTCTGATAGCAGCAAATGCTGGCAAGGATGTGGAACAACAGGAACTCTCATTCATTGCTGGTGGAAATATAAATGTTATAGGCACTTTGGAAGACAAGACTTTCCTACAGATGACTTTCCTACAATGTACAAACACCTTTACCATGTGACCCAGAAATTATGCTCCGGTATATTTGCCCAAAGAGATGAAAACTGACATCTACACAGAAGCTTGCATATAAATAGTTCTAACTGTTCTATTCAATATTAACAAAACTTGGAAGGAACTAAGATGTCCTTCAATAGATGAATGGCTAAAGTGTATAACTAGACTCTGAATGTTTATACATTTAAAAAGAAGCTATCACATCTTGAAAAGACATTCAGGCAACTTAAGTAAAAATTACTAAGTGAGAAATGCTAATCTGAAAAGGTACATACTGTATGATAACAAACTGTAAATTACGTTCTGGAAAAGGCAAAATTTTAAAAACATTATAATGATCAGTAGTTACCAGAGATTATTGGGGAGGGAGGAATAAATATGCAGAACCAAGATTTTTAGGGCGGTGAAAGTATTTTGTATGATATTCAAATAGTGATGCATGTCATACATTTGTCCAAACCTATAGAATGTATAAAACCAAGAATGAATCCTAAAATAAACTGGATGTTGAATGGTAATGCTGCTCATGTGGGAGTGTAGGTTCATCAGATGGAATGAATGTGCTCCTCTGGTGAGAAATGTTGATAGTGGAGGCCATGCATATGTAAGGTGGGGAGATAGTCACTGTAGCTACCTCTCAATTTTACTGGTAACCCAAAACTACTCTGTGTGTGTGTAAATCATAAAAATGAAGATAGCAGAATGCCTCTACAAAATTTACTAAGCTTTTTGTTGTTTGTTTTTGAGGTGGGATCTTACTAGGTAGTGCAAGCTGGCCTTACTTATGTAATGTAGGCTGGCCCTAAATTTGCAGGAATCCTCTTGTGGAAACCTCTTGGGTGCTGGGATTGCAGGTGTGCACTACCATGCCCTTAAATTAAGCTTTTGATAAATGATACCATTTACCTTTGGACAATTTTGATGATCTTTGTTTTTCCTAAAAAAAAATAGTACTAAGAACATTGTTTCCCTGGCTTAATTGTTACATTGGAGGACTTCTTTGAAGGTGTCATCAGATACTTACTTTTAGCACTTCTTTCAGACAAGTTCTCAGAGTACAACTACTTGGATGACAAGTCTGTATGACTTTTAAATAATGAAGAATGATGACATCAGGTTTTTCTAGTTTAGAAAAATGTTATACTGACATAGGGGAATTTTGTAGTGTAACAGGAGGAATGTTTATTTCAAAGTTGTAAAGTCAGTTAATTTTGACATGTAATTTCAGACTTTACAACTTTTGCAGCTTATTCTATGTAATAATTACATTAATTGAGCTAAAACAAATACTGTTTTCCTATATTTCAGTTTGCATTGGGTCAATGACCTTCCTAGAGCACTTGAACAGGTGAGAAAACTTATGTTGGTTCTGTTATTTTGCATTTATTCATTATTAGCATGTATAGATGTTTCCATTTTCACAAACTATATAGTTCTGACAGTTGGAGAATGGAACCACATCAAGTTCTTATCTTCTGTGGGGTGGGTACACTCGGTGTCTTTGTCATAGAAATTTGTACATTGGATGGCAGAATTTAACAAATCTGTTGTGGAGATAAATTTTGAATATTTATAAAAAGCTTAATAACTGCAAAAAATAATATGGTTGTTACAAGACATTTTCTTCATGGGATTTCTTATTTCATTTAGTTGCCTATAACCTTTTTGTTGGTAAGAATCTATTTATTTATATTTGCATCTTCCCTATGCCTTAGAGGGTTCCAGATAAATGCTTGTTTTTTGATACTAATCAGTGAATCAGAAAGGATAAATAAAAAGCATGTGTTCAGAAGAGAGAAAGAGATAACTGTGACTTGGAGTTGCCTAGGAGAACTTTGAGAGGAAGGAATTATAGTACTTGAGCAGAGATTTGGTGAGATTTGGATTGAGGAGGTACGTTATTCCAGGAAGGCCCAATCACAGCATGGGTAGGGAGGAACAAGAGCTTCAGCCCCAGGAGAGAACAAAAAGAAACCTGTTTGGGGGGTTATTAGCCTGTTGGAAGATGAGGTATATTAGGGCCACATATAGAAAGACTTGGGTGCTGTGCAGGATAGGACTTTGGAGTTTGTTCTTTATGTAATTTAGAACTGCTGGAGAACTTTAAGAGGAAAGAGATGTGATTAAAGGCTTGGTGGTTGGGCCTGGGAGATGGCTCAGTAGAATAAGCACTTCCCTGACAAGTGCAAGGGCCTGAGTTCAATCCCCAGTTCTGCAAAAAATAAAAATAAAATAAAATAAAATAAAAAAGGCTTGGTGGTAGGGTAGCTAGGTATGTACTATTTCCTGGTTACTGTGTTCTATTTTGTGTGTAATTAAGTAACCCTGCAAGTAATCTTCATTTTGTTTCTCAGAAAACTAATGGTAGCGAATTTGGTTAAGTTGAAGAGAGATTATTTCAGTGGTTCAGGTTTAAGAAAACTCTAGGTGACAATGGTAGGGGTAAAAAGAATGGAGAGGTTTCTAGGATTCTGCAAAGAAATAATCAGCAGTTTGAGTGGCTTCTTAGCTCTAAAGATCAAAGGGCGAATCAAAACTTACCTTCATGTTTTAAATCCAGACACCTGAGAGAATGATGGGAAAAGAGTAATGATTAGATAAGTAATAGTAAATAAGAATCCAAATAGAGCAAAGGTAAGTTGGTTTGATGATAGATGTTTTGTTTGTGTGAGTTCTGGACAGTGAGGGTGGTTAGTGTGCCAAGAGACAGATGCCCCTAAGGTAGCAATGGAAGATGAGTGTAGAGTTCTATGGAGGTGTTCAGGCTGAAGATAGAGATTAGAAAGTCATCCTGTGAAAACTCCTTTTAAGTTCTGTGAGGTAGAGACTGCAGAGACCTGAGGATTAAATCTCATGTAGTTGGTATAGTAGAGAAGTAACACTAAATCATCGTAATGGAAGAAACCAAAAAGTTTATTTTGGTTTGCTTATGTAGTAGCTTGTAATTACATCTTAATATATTAAATATAATTGTAAGGCAATGCTTTGATTAGAAGAGCTTAGTGTTATCTGAGTTCTGGTTAACTTCTGCTTTTGTACTCATTGTTGAAAATAGTCTAAGCTAATTACAGGTTTTACCACTAATCTGTGGTACACGGGCCACTTGTCTTCCCTTTTTAAAAATTTTAATGTTATAATAACAGATGTTTTAAAAGACAAGTATTATTGCTTATATACATTAAATGCCTATTTCATATATGGCCCAAAACAATTGCTCTTCATTCATGTGACTCAAGCAATTCAAAAAGGTAGACGCATCTGGAAGAGTATCACTGAGCAAACATTTATGATTCTGGAATTCAGTCTGGCCAGTCATTTTCTTTTAAGTTAGCAATTAAAACTTTTTGTTTTAAAGCTGAAAAACTCTTTAAAGAAAATGAATCTGTCAGGTGTTAATGGGTTAATATTGTGAATCATGATAATTTTTCTGTGGAGTAGTGTTTTTCTGTATAAAAAGCTAACTCAATTTAGTAGGTTGACACACTATTTATTAGGCTCATAATTTTTAGGCTGGCAGTCTAGGCTGGACTAAGGAAATTCTTTTGAATTTGGCTTGGCTTACTGGTGCATGCAGTCAGCTGCCAGATAGGGAGTTGCTTGGTTAGACTGGCCTCACCTGGAGCAGCTGTCCGATCTCTACTTCACACGTCTCTCATCTTCCACCTGGTGAGCTCCAGCCTGTTCACAACCTGGCTCAAACCTGGGAGCTGGGCAGCGCCCCAGGAGAGCAGGTGGAAGCGTGCGAGGCCAGTGGAGGACTGGACTTGAAAGAGGCATGCTGTCCATTTTGTTGTATTCTTTTGGCTGGAATAAGTCAGGATACCTGTCCAGATTGAACGAGAGGACATAGACTCTGTTTCTTAATGGGAGTTGTAATAAAATCATGTTTTAGTACATGCAGATACGTGTGATTTCTGTAATCTATCTCAATTAAATTTTTTCTTTCTGTATTTTTCTGAATATTATAAAATTTAAATACATGGAATATATTCTTATAGCTTTGACTATTATTGGGAAGTATATATTTGTCTATAACTACATCATAGAGCAGTGACTTAGATTTCTGGACATGTTAGATGTGATGTATTTGCTAAGTTATCTGATTAATTTGGCAAAATGAGATAAATAGTCATAAAATATTTAGACACTATTAATATTCTTAAATGTAAAATTTTGAATAGTTTTGTTGTATTTATTACAGATTCATTATGTTTTAAAACCAGATGGAGTGTTCGTCGGAGCAATGTTTGGAGGTGACACGCTCTATGAGCTTCGGTGCTCATTACAATTAGCAGAAACAGAAAGAGAAGGAGGATTTTCTCCACACATTTCTCCTTTTACTGCTGTGAATGACCTGGGACATCTGCTTGGAAGAGCTGGCTTTAATACATTGACTGTGGTAACTATCAAAACAATCAATTAACCTATTAATTGCACAGTTCAGAAATGTCTTTTCATTTTAAACATGGTCCTGCCTTTCTCTTTCCCTAGCCTTCTGTCCTATCACTTTCAGCGAGTAGGCTTCCTGGAGAGAGTCATCTAGAGAGACAGTGATTGCCCTGTTTTTAACCTCCCTGTCATAGCGGATGACTGAGTAGATTCCTATGATTTTCCAAACCCCTTAGGCCTAAAAACATCTCTAAACCTAGTTAGAAGATGTTGGAGTTTCTTGATATAGAAAGCTTCTTGCTACATGATTAGAGATGCTAGACCTAATATTAAAATAGCTGTTTCAGATGATTTAGTGCATATTTCATAAAATTGACCGATTGAAAAAAAAGTCAATTCTTTCTTGTATTAATAGATAACAAGGAATGCAAAGCAACAGAACCCCTAATGTTAAAAGAGGCCATCAGGAAAGGAAAGAAACAACTGGCTAGAAATTGAAGACAGAAGATTGACCTTTTAGTAAACTTTTACTTTTTTTTTTTTTTTTTTTTTTTGGCAGAACTGGGGATTGAACTCAGGCCCTCGTGCTTGCCAGGAAAGTGCTTATTCCACTGAGCCATCTCCCTGGCTTAGTAAACTTTTATGTACTTATTTACTCTTTGTTTTCTTGAGACAGGGTCTCGCTATGTAGTTCAGGCTGGCCTCAAATTCACAGAATCCTCCTGTCTCAGCTTCCCAAATGCTGGGATTACAAATGTGCCCTACCATGCCTGGCAACCTTTTATAAACTTCTAAATGATTTGAGACAATAGAAGTACTTTTCTGAGATATTGAATGGCTGGAGGTTGGAAAACTACTGTATATGAGTATTCTGCTTTGTAAAGAAAACTGACGTTATTGATATAGGCAATTGGAAATTAAAGGTAAGGCTTTATAAGGCTGATCAAATATGGTGTATTTAAATAAAAACTTGCTATAGTAAAAGACACATTGTCTTGGTTTTTTTGGTTTTTTGGGGGGGCCAGCTCAGCCTGCCCTGTAGGCGAGTCTTTCATGGCATGTGGTGCTAGGGATCAAACTATGGTTCCCTACACCTGCCTAAGCTTGCTTAAGCAGTTCTATAGACTGCTGAGCTATCTCGCCAGCCACACATTGTCCTTGATGCTCCTCAAAATGTTCCCTGTTCCTTTTAAACAGTCTGTAGTTCTTACTACTTTTTGAAGCAGTTCTGGAACTCCTTTTTTGTGAGTGTCTTTATGAAGTGTGATGAAAAGATGCAGTGAATGCTGTTGCCACATGCTGTGCAACAACAGAAAGGTGGGTTTGTAGAAACGTGCTGGTGTGGCCTTATCCACTTTATTCACTGGATCTGGTACCTGGCAACTGCTGGCTCTTTTCCAAAGTTAGAATGACCATGAAAGGGCGGGTGGGATAGCTCAGCAGTCTAAAGCGCCTGCTTAGGCAGCACATGGACGGCAGTTTGATCCCCTGCACCACACACGTGGCATACCAGCCCTGGCCCTAGGGTGTGCTGAGCCAGACACCAAAAAAAAAAAAAAAAAAGAATGACCATGAAAGATAAACATGACCAAACCATGTTTTTTTTTTTCAATTATTTCCTTCTAAACGGCATTTATATTTGTTCCAGTTATTTGCTAATATACTTCTATTTCACATCATTTATTTAATAATTCAGTCTTGTAACAAAGTACTTTCTGTGTGTCAGGCACTGTCCTAAGTACTATAGGTATAACCGTGATCAAAATGGGCAGAAATTCCTACTCAGTATTCTTAGATATATAGACTTTGGAGGACAGTTCAGTAGCACTATGATGTATGCAAAATTGCTATTTTCTTCATCTGTGAAGGAATGTGTACGTGTCATTTTCATCTGATCATCAGATCTTGAGAGATCCGATATGACTGAAAACGTAAAAATCTACTGGTTTAAAGTTTTAGTCTTATGTTTATTTCATTTCCATAGAAAAGATTACCTTTACTGTCTACTCTCTTAAAAATTACCTCCCATATTGCCCTTACAAAGCAATAATGAAAGTTAAAAGAATATCTCTGGAGATGGAAAGCTTCAAAAAAAACCTAGTAGGGTGCAGAGGGGTGGAATGACATCGAGAGTTATAGGAACCAATATTGGGGGACTCCACAGTTGTCCATTAAGAAAAGTTGGAATTTGTATCTTTATTCATTAAAAGAAAAATAAATTAGATTGACCACACATAGTTTCCTGTGCTTATAAAGTATATTATGTTTTAGATTTATGGCATTTAAAAAAAAACCCATGTTTCTAGTAACTGAGAACTCTTAATTCAGAATATCTTTCATACTCTCCAAAAATGAGCTAAGTGACCCAAATATTAATACAAAGCAAAAATGTTAACAGAATATTTTTCATGACTCAATACAAGTATGACTGCTATAATAAAACTAAAAATTTCTTTAAATCATTAGATTTATCCTTTGAGATATGTGTTTTATCTGAAGTGCTATTAATGGGTATCTTAATTAATTTTCTAAAAATTCTCAATCCAAAAAATAACATTATATAGGCTTATGTTGTATATCTTAGACATTATTTTTAGATTATTTTTGTACTGCAATTTTTACTTTTAAAATGAAATAAAGTAAAAATTAATTATTTTTACATTTATATGATCCTCTTAGTGAATTATTTCCAGAGTTAGTGAGCATTCTAAATGAAGTTCATTTACTTTTAAAATAAAGTTACTTTGAGAGAATGCTGCAGAGTACAGCTCATCTTAATTTAAGGCTTTGACAAAGCTATTTTGATATTCTTTTGAATGAGATAGTTTTATTGAAGAATTGTTTACTAAGATATTGCGTAATTGGTAAATATCAGCTTATAAGGAAATTTTTAAATTTTGGGATCTTTCCTTCTCCCTTCTCTCTCTACTTTGTCCCATCAGCCTAGAACTGTTTTTTAAATACTTTATTAATGTAGATGTATAAAGATACAATAATTATGGTCCCACTATCCAAAAGCATATACACACAGCCTGATCCATGCATATGGCAATGGAAAGAAAAAGAGTAAGATGTGTGTGTGTGTGTGTGAGAGAGAGAGAGACAGAGACAGAGAGACAGAGAGACAGAGACAGAGAGAGAGAAAGAATGAGAATGAAGTAGAGCAAAATCTAAAGTGGAAAATCCACTTTTTGCATTGCCCTTCTCTCCTAAAGATTTGTTGCTTGTATCCTGTATTTCTTTTGAAAACGGTTTTTCCTCATAGACCACAGTATCTGTCATTTAAACCTACATAGGCAGTGAGGTACATACATAAAAGCTTTTTAAGTGTATGTACTTTGTTTTTCTGTTTAATTGTACTTTTGAGTACATATAAACCATCATTTGAATGAACATAACAGTAGGATTCATAATACATTATTGTGGCAAGAAATCATAACAGAAATCATGAAATGAATGTAATTTTTTTTTTTTTTTGAGGTTTAAAAGAAATTTATTTTCTTGCATTTCTAAGGCTACACATCTGTGATCAAGATTTCAAAAGATTTGAATTTTTGGTTCCTGTCTCCTCAATTTGTAGATGGCCATTTTCTCTTAAAATGTTACTGAAACTCATTTTGTGTTCTCTCTCAGCTTTTAAATCTCTTTTGGGTGTTTCTGATAAGTGTTAAAATGTAACAAGAAGCCTTGAACAATTTCCAGTCCTTGAGAAATAGGAATCTCATTCATAATTGTTACAGGGTGGTCTCTAAAATTTGTATGATAAATCCTAGCCCTGGTACCTTAGAATGTGACTTTATTTGCTGATAGGAGCTTTGAAGAAGAAATTCAGTTAAAATAATGTTATAAAGGTGGTCTCTAATCTGATATGACCAGTGTTCTTTTAACAAATAAGAGGTTAAGACAGACGTGTACACACAGAAAGAAACACTGTGTAAAGACAAAAAGAGAAAGCTTTTTTTTGTGTGTATTTGGTACAGGGTCTCACTATGCAGCTCCTACTCTGAGTGATCCTGTTTTCAACCTCCCTGTGCTGGGATTACAGGCGTGCACCAAGCCTAGTCTTGGTTGCTTAGCTCAGCGTGCCATGGGCGGGGCCAGTGGGTCATGTGGTACTGGGAATTGAACCCATGAACCTGCACTTGCCTGAGTAAGCACGGAGTCCTTTGAGCTATCTCACTGGCCCCTTTTTTTCCTACATATTTTGAAGATCTTCAGACATATATCTACCTTATTTTTTTTTAAAACAGCTATGGATTTCCATTGGATAGAAATTCTTTATTTCATAGGTCTTCTCTTAATGACACTGTCAAGGAGCACCTGGATATTTGGGGAGCATCAGTAGATTCTGCCATTGTTGCCAATAGCAGACTTCAGCATCAAGTTGTAGAAAGGGGCAAGGCAATGTGTAATAGATAGTTCATTGTTCTGTGTGTCAGCAGCATGCCTGTTTCTTAACCAAGCTGTTGGCTATAAAGTGGAAGGAAGTATCTGGTAGATGACTGCCTTTGGCTTGATTTTGGTGCCACATTTTGGGGAAAATTGATGTTGACAGTAACCAGGAAACTGTACTGAGAACATGTAAGGATCTCTAAATTTTGTCTATTAGTCTAGCTTCTCTCCCTAGCCCCCACGCCCCCCAAAATAATCAAAACAAAATTATAATGACTTAGAATTTCCAAAGATTTAGAGAGGGGACTGGTGAGAAAGCTCAGCAGTCTGAAGTGCCTGCTTAGGCAAGCTTAGGCAGGCATAGGGGACTGTGGTTGGATCCCAAGCACCACATGCTGTGTCAGCCTTGCCCTCAGGGTGGGCTGGGCCAAAAAAAGAAAAAAAAGATTTAAAGAGGAATTGGTTTGCAAAGACTATACTGACTCTTTGATGTTCCCAAGGATAGAACTAGACCCAACTAAAGGAGTTGGGAAGATTTCACTCACAGCGGAGAGTATTTATTCAGCAATTTGAGATCTTAACTCAAGCATAAATCAGATAATATCTGTGAAGAACATAACACAAGTTTCTTGCTTACAGTTAGAGATTGGTCTGAGTAGTCTTTATAGTCCTTTTCAAATGTGGAGTGTTGATGAATGTGAAGTTGAATATTCCTTTTTCTTTTCAAATAGGACACTGATGAAATTCAAGTTAACTATCCTGGAATGTTCGAACTGATGGAAGATTTACAAGGTAAGACATTTTAAAGAACTTTTAGACCCCATTTGAGGTACATTTTGTGAGTCCGCCCTATGCAAGAGTGGGGATAAGCAGTAATGAACTACCGGTGAGGACAAAGCAGTCTTCATGGCACTTTACAATTGTAGTGGTTGATACATTGTGTTAACTTGAAGTTTAGAAGTTTAAACTGAGTGATTCAGCAGGGAGCCAGGGTCCTTACTTTGTGTAAGAGGAGGGCAAGGAGATTGTGAGTGCTCTGCCAGCTTGGAGGGGGGAATGCTTGTGTATTACAGCATAAGGGAAGAAAAGAAGGAGGCTTGTTCTCTCCCCGCCGTTTGCTTTTGCTCCTTTTGGCTGCCTTGTGCTGCCTTGAACTGTTTACCCTGTGCCACGCCACCCTGCCTTGGAGCCACTTGTTTATGGATTGAAACACCCCACAAACTGTCAGTTAAATAAACCTTTTCTTCCTTATTTTTGGGTATTGGGTATTTATTTTGTCTCAGCAATGAGAAAAAGTAACCAAGACAATAATATAAACTGTCAAGAGAAGCACCTGCCTGGTAAGTGCAAGGTCCTGAGGTCCTGAATTCTCAGTTCCTGTTACCAAAAAAAACCACACACACACACACACACACACACACAAAAAAAAA